ATACTGAGTTCAATATTGTATAACTGTATTAATTCAACTGTAAACCTAAACATTTACAGCCAATTTTGAAGGAGATACATCTTAGCTCTGGATATTGTTATTGAATATGTCAATGCTGTTGTAATGAAATGCTTCTTCTAAGTATGTGGTTATTAAATAAATAATTTTTTTAAAAAAAGGAGGTAGGAATTGGCTAGCCAGGGTAAAAAGACCCCAAAGAAAACTAGCCAGTTTCTTGGCTAAAACTCACAATGTCCTTGGGCCTCTTAGCAACATATTCTATTCCAAAGACCAAAAATGTCAAAAGTATTTGGGAGCTTTTATCTAATCCTTAAAATATTTTAGGGTTACCTCTTCGGGGGGGGGGGGTTAAGAGTAGCCAAAAACCCCATAAAAAATAATAAATAAATGAAAGAAGAAAAGGAGAGTACATTAAGTTATCAGAAAAGTGATGGGAGATATGGGAGGAGTTGGAGGGGAGGGAGTGGGCATGGATTTGGTCAAAACACTTTATATGCATGTATGAAATTCTCAATAAATTATTTAAAAAAAAGAGGTTCCTGAGGATGAAAGGTATCTACCTCATATTTCTTCTGCCACATCTTTCTCCACCATGATGACCTATCTCCCCCTGAATAAGAAACCCTTCTTCCTTTATGTTGACTCTTGCCAGATATTTGGTCACAGCAATAGGAAAACAACTAATAAAAAAAATGGCACCAGGGAATGGGACCATTGCTTTGACAGGCATAACCATGTGGTCCTTACATCTTTTAGAAACAACTTGCTAGATGAACAAGGAAGAGTTTGGAGCTACAAGCTGGCCAAGTCTTAGAATAACATGAACAGAACTTAATGGGCCATTCTGCTAGGAGTATGGAAGACCAGACTGTCCTTGTGAGAAAGACAGACAGTGAAGGCCTAGTTCATGAGGTCTGGAGTGGAAGAAGGACTTTATCGACACCCAGGACAGAGATTAGCCTGTTATATTCTGGCAAAGAATCTGGCATCACCCTGCCCATGTTCTTGTTTTTTTGGTTGTGAGTTTGAGCCTTTCACAGCTACACCATCTCTCCAGTCCCTACCCAGGTTCTGAGAACTTGAATGAGGCTGAATTCGAAAGTAATCAACAAATTTGTTTGGTAGAGAAAAATCTCATGACAGGATAGTATTCAAGTTAAGTCACTGTTCTTATCAGTGAGAGAGAGCAATACTGTGGAGTGGAAAGATAAGTAAATGTGTAGTTTAGTCAGGAAAGGAGTGAGTTTAAGGTCACAAGGCAGTGCTGAGAAAGCAAATAAATTGTGATGGAGATCAGAACATTAAAAATAAATAAAGTCTTCTGCACTGAGACAACAGGAAAAATGCCCTGAGGGAAAGGTCCCACATACTCCTATCTGTGAAAATGTGCAAGTATCTAAAAGGAGAGAACCTAAAAGGGCTCCTTCCTGGTAAACAACCACCTAGTAAAGTGTTTTCTCAATGAGCTACCAAGGTATACCAAGGCCACTGCAGCTAGCATTCAAGTGGGCCAAGTTGGAAGAATGCAGCAGCATTGTCCACATGGTACTGGTTTTGCAGACATGAAAGACAACAGTAAAGAGGGTCATGGAGTCCTGCTCCCAGGTTCCTGAAAGCTGTTGAGACTAGGCAATGTGAGGCAAGGGCAATTTCCCTCCCCTGAGGCCCTGAGAGGTCACCGAGTGAAGCTAGGAACATGAGGCCTAAGTTGCAATGGAGACCCCAGGATACTGGAGATGTCACAACTATGGGACATCCACCAAGGAAAGACATAGGCATGGAGGAATGGAACCAACCTAAGAAAGGGTCAATGTGTGCTACAGGCAGAAGAATTGAAGAAGCAGGACTACCCAAGGCTGCTGCAACCCAGATGACTCCACCTCTCGTAGAGCGTAGTAGCACATGCCTTTAATCCCAGTACTCAGGAGGCAAGGACAGGTGGATCTCTGAGAGATTGAAGCCAGCTTGGTCTACATAGTGAGGCCCAGGCCAGCTCTGGCTACAGGAAGACCCTGTTTCAAAAAGACAAAAAAAAAAAAAATCCTAATCTCTCTCCCAGAAATAAAAGCTATATAATGAAGTACGCACATTTAATGCTTTATGTTTCATGTGGTAAAAGCTAATTTCTTAAAACCTAAAGATGAAAACTTCAGAACATTATAGATCCTCATTTAAAAATTCAAGAAAACAATTCAAGAAACTGAACAAGCAAAAAATAAAGAGCAAGAGAGAAACCGAGGAGAAAAAGGTATTCTGATGATTAGTTTGGGGATCAAACTCCATTTGAACACTACTTGGTAAAAGCAATAGATAGCAGTATCCTAAAGGAGAAATGATAGCCTTGGGAAAGGGAGGCCTAGAACTGCTCCCCTGAAATGTCAAATCTCAATCCTACACTGGGGGAAAGAGGGCAAGGAAAAAACACACACAATGATACCTTGTGGAACCAATAATAATCAAGCCAATTCAAGCACATTGTACCCCTCAATTCTTTTTCACATTTTAGAACGTAAAGCCTTCACTACTTACACACCTCGGTCTTGCTGACAAATTGCTAAAGATCTCAGAACAGCTGAGCTATTGAGCAATGTGTAGATGTAAGACTCCACTTGTAACCTTGAGAGCACAGAAGTATAAGAATGAAGAGCCAGGGTCTGGTGAAGGTGCTCAGATTTAGCATCAAAGAGCTTCTTTAGCTCTCCCAGAGCATTTTCATTCATCTCTACTCTCTGGTAGCGGTGGTGGCCAGAAACTTTCACTTGATCTGCACAGATACCCTGAGAATGAAATATGAAACCAGTTGCATGTAAAGCAATCCAGCAGCAGGTATAAGATATACAAGCTTCAGTACCATTTTCAAAGAGCTTATAACCATGGTGAGGGGACAGTACTATGTGTATAAAACAAATTAATGTTCGTGTGTCAAACAGAATATTGCCAATTATGAATACACGACAAATTCTGAAAACACCATAACCCTAAGGTGTCAACAGTGAAATACGAGAAAAAACAGTAGAGCTTGATCCTAAAACTCATACCTGATTATCTTACCTTCTATTTTAAGAATACTGAAGTCAGTGTGCTATCCCTCAACTTCACAGTTCTTCAAAATATCTGGATCTACCTCACTATGCTTTATGATTCTTTTCAGAAGAAATCCTTTTTTTTTTTTTTTTTGGTTTTTTTTGAGTCAGGATCTCCCTGTAGCCCTAGGTAGCCTAGAACTTACTATGTAGACCAGGCTGGCTTTGAACTCACAGAGATCCGCCTGCCTCTGCCTCCCAAGTACTGAGATTAAAGGTGTGTGCCACCACATCCAGCCTATCCCTTTTTTTTTTTTTTTCAATATGTCCAAATGCTTCCTTCTCTACAGACTCTATAATAAGAGACATACAAGGGTCTATACAAAAAAGAGGTAGGGGCTAGGAAATCACATTTGTCATCAATATCTCCTCCAGCTTTCCTTCAATGCAAAACTTGTGAAGAATGGCATTCTCTACCATGCCATCTCTCCTAGGCCCTTATGAAATGCATTCTTGCGATCACTTTGACCTCCAGAGGGCCACATCTAGTGGACTTCCCTATGTCTCTCAACCATGATACTCTTCACCCACTGCTCATTTGTGGCATAATGTCCAGATCTAAAACTAATATTCTGTGGGCTGAATTTGACCTTGAGACATGCTTTTGGGGCTCAGACTCTGTGTGGTATATGTGTGTGCATATCTGTGTGTTTAGTTAGCTACCAACACTGCCAGTTAGCATCCTTCGTGCAAAAATCCAGATTCCCACTTCTCTTGGAAAATCATAAGATGTGGCAATCCTGGTCTATCACAACCACACAGCTACAATCAACTAGAAGTCAAGAGCTGCTGTTCCCTTCAGATTAGGCATGTGCTTCTCCATTGACCACAGTCCTACTCAGCCTTCTTCACTCCCACAGGTTACATGCCTGGCCCTTAGCCATGTGACTTTTTGATCCCTGTCTATACTGTTCCACTCTAGGTAGAGCCAGAGCCAGGGTGGGTATAACAGGCAGATTGAAGGCCTGGATGGCATCACAGGAAGAGCCGCTCCACCACAAATTCCTGAACTCCTGAAAGCTTTATACACACTGGTCAAAATACCTGTAGAGACATTTGTTCCTCCTTAAAGTGCCACAGTCGACTTTTAGCATTTTGGCAATCAGATGTCAGAGTAAGGAGCTCAGCCTCAGCCAACAGCAATTGCTTCCTACACCGTGAGTAGTTCAGAAGCAACTCATAAAATTCATGCCTGTCCTGATGAGCAATGCTGTCAAATTCTTCTACATACAACTCAACATTCTCCAGCCATGAACCAGGCTCCAAGAGTTTGAGCTGTTCTTTAGTAAATGGTACTAGCTCTGGTTGAGGTGGGAGCTCTGGGTAGAGTCGCTCACTGCAAAGCAAGGGTTTCCCTGCCACCAAAGCTGGCACTTCAGCAATTTCAGCTGGCAACTGGGGATACAATGTCTTCACTCTAGGTGGCTGAGAAACTTCTTTGGCTTCGTTAGAACTGCGCAAGCTAGCATTCTGAAGCACTTTTGAACAACCAAGGGTTTGTTCATCTTCTTTCTGATTCTGAGTTTCCCTGACTTGTAAATTTTCCATTTCCTGCTGAGTACAGGAAAGATAAGATTGCAGTGTGCTTTCCAAAGATCCATACTGTACTAGTGCGTTTTCCTCTACTTCTGTAAAGTTCTTGGAAAGTTCAACTTTAGCTCCAACATTGACTTCCGGGTCAACCTTCAACTTGATGCCATCATCTCCGGCATGGGCTCTAACCTCTTCCTCTTCTTTCAGGGGCTCTGTGTCACATATCAGGGACCCTTCATCACCTATTGTCAAGGAGGTGAGTGGGATATCAAACATTTCACTTTCGTTCTGTCCACTGGCATCACTGTGGGGCTGGGAATCCATTAACACCTTCAGATGGTCTCCTTTGAGCTCCAAAGCTGGAAAAGGAATTTCCTGATCTCTAGACATCTTTGGTAGGGAGACTTCATCACACTCTTCTGTCTGAAGGGTTTCATGCTTCTTCTTTTCCTAAAAGCAAGGTGTATAACATGAAATAATTTATAACAGCAGCTAATGTTTTCAGCATGAGGGTTTTTTTTTTTTTTCACACAAGGTCTCCCTATAGCCCCACTGGCCTAAAACACCCTAAGTAGACCTAGCTGGTCTCTATCTCACAGAGATCTGCCTGCCTTTGCCCACCAAGAACAAGGATTAAAGGTATGTACCACCACTCCCAGGTTCAGCATGAGGAATTTTTAAGCTACATATAAAAATCTAAATTTTGGCTTTGAGGGCTCTTTTGTCAGCTCACTAACCAACTTTCATTCCTGGGAGTGCTTTTTCCTTTCATAATAAGCTATATATTTCTGTTTCATGCCAACTCAAAAAACATGCCCTTTTCTTCATCTCTCCTTCCGGCAGCTGCCAGGATTTTCACCTAACCTCTGCTGTTTTCTTTTAAATGCTAATAAAATTGTTCTTGAGCTTCTTTTAAGTCCATTTCTAAATTCTTTCATTAATATGATTAAAACCCCCAAAAGGGAAGCTTGGTTTTTCTGGTAACAGGTAGCAACCTCAAAGGGACCCTAAAAAACCCCTCTGAAGACTAAAGTGCTAAAACTCAGCCACCACAGTTTTCAGTAATTGATTATGTAACCCAGAAGTAAGCAGCAAGTTTCTACTCCTGTTGAGCATCTGTGACATGGGCTCAAATGCACCCAGGGAATCACCCATCTCCATTGCCTTTACAATGTCACCCAAAGTATAGGTGAATGGTCCTTTCTGCCATATTTTCCTCTTGAACTATGACCCTAATTCAGCATGCTCAGAAATATGTATTTTAAATTGAGCATGCTCAGGAATGTACCCTTCTGAAGGTGCCTCCTGCCTATATGAATGTGGCTATGCCTCCTGGTAAGTAAATACAAATTTTGGCAACAATAGGAATGAAAGAAATTTTAAAATTGTACATAAATTGGAGACTAAGCATAGTGGCAAAGGCCTTTAATCCCAGCAATGGAGAGGCAGAGACAGGCAGATCTCTCTGAGCCCAAAGCCAGCCTGGTCTACATAGCAAGTTCTAGGCTAGCCAGTGCTACATAGATCCTGTCTCAAAAAAAAAATACATACATATACATAGATAGTGAGATAGATGATAGATAGATAGATAGATAGATAGATAGATAGATAGATAGATAGATAGATGATAAATCAATGTTATGAATTCTTTCTTTTTTTTTTTTTTTCGGTCTTTGAGACAGGGTCTCCCTGTTGCCCCAACTGTCCCAGAACTTACTATGTAGACCAAGCTGGCCTTGAACTCAGAGAGATCTGCCTGCCTCTGCCTCTGCCTCTGGAGTACTAGGATTAAAGGCATGCACCACCACACCCGGCTCAATGTTTCGATTTTTAAATTGTGTATTTAGTTGTTGAGAAGGGGTAAGCTTGTGACAGTTGGTTGATCTTAACTGTCAGCTTGACAGCTTGGTATATAAAATTAACCCAGCAGACACAGCAATGGGCCTATGTGGGAGGGATTTTAAGAGAGGATTAACTGAGGTGAGAAGACCTGCCCTGAATGTGGGTAGCACCATTACATGATCTACAGTCCTTGGTTGAGTAAAACACAGAGAGCAAGTTGAGCACCAGAATTCATCTATCTCAGATTCCTCACAGCAGATGTTCTGTAACAGCTACCTCTAGCTCCTGCTACAAGTGGATCCACCATGCTGCCATGCCTTACTTCCATGGTGGATTAAGCCTCAAACTGTGAGCCAAAATAAATCCTTTCTTCCTTGAGGGGGGGGGGTCTAAATTCATTTCATTAAATCCTGTATTTTCTATTTTGTACTGCTCATTTTTTAGTGTACTGAATTTGGACACTCAATAGTCTAATATGAAAAAAGAATGGTATCACCATAGGCAGCAAATTATAATTCAAAAGCAAAAAGAAAATTTTTAGATGGATCATCCACCATTCTACCAGACACTTAGTAAAACAGAACAATTTCTAACTGTCATAGACTCATTACATTTGTCTTCATTTTGACCAACATGTTCATTCCCAACTCATATAGAAAAGGCCACAACTCAAAGACCAAAGCAAAAAGCATAGTATTAGATTATAATCTGTAGAATAAAATATAAGTCTATATTAATATACTTGTCTGAATGAATATATAAATCAAATGAGTAGGTAGTGTTAACTCTTCTATGACAAAGAATTCCAATTAATAAAGATAAAAGGAAGAAGAAAAACAGAAAATCACCATTGTGACTCCATGGTGTGTTAGCCCATTTTCCATTTCTACTATAAAATATTTAAAACTGGGTACTTAGCTAGGTATGGTGACACACATCTTTTTTTTTAACTTAAAAAAAAACTTTATTGAGAATTTCATACATGCATATAAGCTGTTTTGATCAAATCCACACCCACTCTCTCCCCTCCAACACCTCTCATATCTTTAACACCAAGTGACTCTCTTGTGAGAGATATATACCAGTCTGGTCTACATAGTGAGTTCCAGGCCAGTTGGGGCTATAGAGAGACGCTGTGTCCTAGTTTCTTTCTATTGCTGTGATAAAATCACTAACCAAAACCAACTTGGGGAGGAAAGGTTTATTTCACCTTACAATTTACAGTTCATCATCAAGGGGAGCCATGGTAGAAGCTCAGGGCAGGAACCTGGAGCACAGACCATGGAGGTACACTGCTTACTGGCTTGCTCCCCTAGCCAAAGCTCACCTCTTTCTTATACAACACTTGCCCAGGGGTGGCACAGCCCACAATAGGTTGGGCCCTCCCACATCACTCAACAATCAAGAAAATGCCCCACAGACATAGCCACAGGCCAATTAAAGAGAGGCAGGTAATTCCTCAGTTGAGGTTCCCTCTACCCAGGTGTGTTAAGTTGACAACTGAAGCTATCCAGCACACCCTGTCTCAAAAAAATAAAAATAAAAAATAAAAAAGAGTGGGTACTTATAAAGATGTTTACTGAGCTCACAATTTTGGAAAGTTCAAAAGCATGGTACTGGAATGTAGAGGATGTCATACTGGATGGCACTGCAACAGCAGGAGCCCCAGAAAGAGGGAAAAAGCACACTATGAGACAGGAAGCAAGAAAGAGGCTGGAAAACCAAGGACATTCCACTAGGCCCACACCTTAAAAGTTCCAGCATCTCCTAGACCGCTGTACTGAGGAACAACCTTCCAACCCATGAACCCTGAGGGACACATTTAAATCATATCCAAACCACAGTAATGACACACTGTCACAAGCATGACCTACCAACAGATGTCACAGTGACTGAGTCAGAGCTTAGGCAGAAATAAGATGACTGAATTGTCTCAAAGTATCCCCAATTAGGTATTTCATAATTACAAAAGAAAAAATTGTAAATTTCAGTGGAGAATTCTGGCAGACAAAGGAACAATCTACAAAATAATTGAAGTGTTGCCATAATGAAAGAAAAGACTAGGTAGCTGTTGTCAAGAGGCTAGAGGAGATTCCAGATGTGATAACTACATGCAAACTGGGATTCTAGACTGGATGCCAGAACAACAAAAAATAATAATAATAAAGTCAGTCATGGTGGCACACGCCTTTAATCTCCGCACTTGGGAAGCAGAGATAGGAAGATCTTTGTGAGTTCAAAGCCAGCCTGGTCTACATAGGGAATGCCAGGCCAGCTGGGGCTACAGGGAGACTCTGTCTCAAAAAGACAAATAATAATAATAATAATACAATCTTATGGTAAAAACTTGAAATCCAAATATGTTCTATATTTTAGTTAGCATTATTATATCAAAGTTAATTTCCTGATTTTGATCATGTTCTATGGCTTAGAAGGTATGATTAGATAACATAAGAGCCAGGAGGTTCATGTGATGGCTAATTTTGGTTGTCAACTTGGCACATTCTGGAAAAGGGAACCTCAACTAAGGAATTTCTTCCATCAGATTAGTCTATGAACATGTCTGGGTCATTTCTGTGATTATTAATTTATGAGGATGCCCAAGCCTGGGCAGGTGGGCCTGGTCTATATAAGAAAGATAGCTGAGCAAGCCTGGGGAAGCAAGCCAGTAAGCAGCATTCCTCCATGGTTTCTCTTTCAAGCTCCTGACTTGGCTTCCCTTGATGGAATGTAACCTGCAAGGTGAAATAAACCCTTTCCTCCCCAAGTTGGTTTTGGTCAATGTTTTATTACAGCAACAGAAAGCAAACTAGGGCAGCACATCTATAATCCTAGTACTCAGGAGGCAGAAGCAGGTGAATGATCACAAATTCAAGGCCAGCCTGGACTACATAGTGAGACTAGTCTCAAAAAAAAAAAAAACTTTAACTACTGAATGGGTAGGGGGCAAATATGATCAAACTATAACATATGCATGTTTGAAAATGTCATTTTATTTTGTATATTTTATTTTGTATAATTAATCATGTTAATAAAAATGTAATGGCAGGCGGATCTCTGTGAGTTCAAGGCCAGCCTGGTCTACATAGTGAGTTCAGGCTAGCTGGGGCTGCAGGGGGACACTGTCTCAAAAAGACCAGGAAAAAAAAAATGTAATCAGTGAATAACCTTTTTTAAAAAAAATTAACCAGAGCCAGGCTTGGTGGCACATACTTTTAATCCCAGCACTCGAGAGGCAGAGGCAGGAGGATCTCAGTGAGACTGTGGTCAGTTTGGTCTATATAGTGAGTTCTAGGCTAGCTGTGGCTACAGGGAGACTGTCTCAAAAAGACCAAAAAAAATTTTTTAATTAGTCATTAAAAAACTATGATGGCAAGGCATGGTGGTACACCCAGCACAAGGGATGAAGCCAAGAGGACCAGTTCAAGATCATCCAATGTCATGTATATAGAGAATTCAAGGTCACCTGCTAGGCCACATGAGGCCCTGTCTAAAAAAATAATAATAATAAATAAACAAGTAAAATTACAGTTTAAAAAATACCTCGGGGCTAGTGAGAGGGTAAAGGCAGTGCAGCACAAGCCTGGTGACCTAAGTTCACACCCTGT